CTCACCAGACACACTCCTGTTGGTGCCTTGATCCAAATCGATTTAAGCTTAGTAAATATCTATTTATGGAGGTGTACAACACAAGCTTGTTAACCAAGAGTCCTCAGACAATATGGATGAATGAAGCCAACAGAATAATGTTTATTATAAGGGCTGAGAAATGTGGGGCTCATATCCTAAATAAAAAACATGAATAATTATGTTTTATACAATCCCAAGACTGAAAACTTGGGTAAAACTTTGAAGAAAACAGTGAAATCTCATTTTCCAGTTCTATCAATGCTTGATTTCATTAATCATCTTATAAATGTATCTACTAAGAATTGATTTTAGTATAGACACTGAAAAATCCCCAGACAGAACATTCCTAGTAACAAATTACGAGTAAAATGTATTCAAAGACAGTAGACATATGTAATTCTTTAGTCACCTATGAGAAGAAAATATTTCTATAAAATGGTACAATAAGACATAATATGGTAGTTCATAATTTGTTTTAGGTTGGAAATGAGCAAATTAAAAGATGAAAAAATATTCCTAGCAGGTATTTTGGCAAAAAAGAAAACCTTGTCAAGAAATCAATGTTCAGTTTTGTGGAGAGAGCAGAAAAAATTAGTGAAATCAAAAATTTTGTTTAACATTAGCCACTTCATGTTTTATTGATATATAAAATAAAATACTTATTGGAATTCAAAAATTTATTTGTTGAATGTTAGGATGAAAGCCAATTTGTTTTGCACGGATGTAAAGAAATGGCTGCCAACTGAATTTTGTAGTTTCATTGTGAGTTTGATGCTTTAAAAGGGATCATAAGGCTGATTTGATACATAAAGAGAAATATTTAATAACTTCCAAGATTTGAAAATGTAAAAATAAGTTTGATGCAGGTCTGATAATGATAAATTTAAACAAACATCAAGGAGATAATCACAAGAGAAATTTATAAAAAAAATCTCTGTCAAGTTATGAAATTTTCAGACATTGCAGATCCTAAATCAAAGATTAAAATTGAAACTGATCATTCATCTACTTTTCAATGAAAGAAACAACAGAATACATAAAGATCAGTTGTTGAATCATTCTTTTCACTGAAGATTACTGGGGTGCTATTGTTGGCCCAGACAGACAGAAAAAAGGCTGGGTTGCTAGAAGTGGAAGCAAACTGCTTTCACAAGTTGAGATGTCAACTTAGCAGAAATGGTGTGATGTTTTGGGGTGGCTTTTACAGGTGGTGGTTCTATAAGTTCCAGATGATATTTATTTTTAAGACATACATGGAGCCATTTTTTAAGAAATCAAACAATTTCAAAAATATGATGGGGGCAGGGTGGAGTACTGAAAATTTGAATAAAATGTATTTTAAAGACTCAACTGAAGTGGTCATTTTATTGACCTGACTTTAAAACCTGATTGAAAACTTGGAGAATTCTGAAGAGGAAGTTTTATCAAAGATTACTTTTGAATCTTAGTCTAGATTCTTTTGCAGTCTGTTTTGTATGAAGAAATATAACTGCTCACAAAATCAGTGGATGAATGATTTAAGATATCTGTCATCATTACCATGACCTTGTTTTCTTTTTTTTGTTCAAAACATTTGTTATAAACGTTGCACATGTTCTATAATTAAGATTCTTAACCACAACATAAGGTTTGTCGGTTTCAGTAACTAGGCAAATAATGTGAGGTGGAGTGTATGGAGACATAATGACTGGTTAGCATTCTGATAAATATCTAAAGTCAAACAAGTGTTATTTTTATAAGGTCTAACAAGAAAAGATGAAGTAATCCCGAGTAATTTTCATGAGATTTCTTATAAGTTATTGACATTATAACTTTATGTCTTTGTTTGCTTTTTTTTTTCAAGGTTATGAACTCTACTTCTTTGTTCTCCATATTCACAACAATCATGGACATTTTCTTTTTCTGACACTTCCCACCTGTTCTTCAATGTTTATATGGTAATGTCTCATTTCATTTTATTTATAAACCTCATTGCACGCATACAGAATAGCCATACACATCTCCTTGCTTATTTACCCTTGCTCTGATAAGATTCATACAACCACACAAGTATGAACTTATTCTATAACTAATAAGTGTTACATGAAATTCAATATTTTTAATTATTTTCAAACAGAAATATCAATAGGCTAAAAGTAGATAATTATTTTCCCTGCAGGTTGGCATATTCAAAGAACAGACAAAAGAAGAGAGAAAGTAGGCTATGTTCACAGCTGATTTGAGTTTGTTGTTTACCTCAACTGTTTCATTAAAAAGTTGTAGATTCCATATGAATCAAAGAACCTTTTCTCATGCTCTTGTCTAACAAGCTACAAAGGTTTTATCAAGAAAATATAAAGTGAAACCAGTTGGTTACATAATTGTTTAAGTTTAAACAAAGAATTAAGATTAAGCTTTTCTTTCCTTTATATTTAGCAAAATGTTTTAAATGCACAACTTATATGAAACCTCATTATTCATAGATAATCTAAGCAATAGGAGTTTGGGTTTGGTTACTATTTTGATATGGTCTCAATATAAGTCTTACAACTGAACCCTAATTTTCTGGTATATGCTTATAACAGATCTCTTGTGTACATGTACAAGATGGAAATCAACATTTGCTGTTATCAAGTTTTATACTTGACTTTGTCATTTTTACTTTTTGTCCTTATATCAGACTGTTGGTTTCAATCCATAGGTATGACTGCACCCCGCCACATACAATTTAGAGACAGACAAATCATACAGATGCATGCCGGGATTTCTTCCTAACCAATAAAATGAAACACTTCTGTCTCATCCGCCATATTTTTGTTCTTTCTTGTCTTGAATTCAGAACACTACAATTATTTAACTCTATCCCTTCTGTGTGTTAACTCCATTCTTACTTTGTGAAGTTTTTGCCTTATTACTGTTGTTTTGCCTAGCATATTGTTTGCTTAGTATTATTTTACAGTTCTTTTTGTTATTGTTTATTGAAAACTTTGTCTATTCAGTTTGTTGTACATTTTTGCCAATTATTCTACATAGTATCATTGGATAATGCTAACCTTGCATCCTACTATTAGTTACCATCCTCAATCTATATTTTATTGGATACTAACATATTTGTATTATAATGATGTTGACTAATTTTATATTTTGATCAGAAAAGAAGCAAATATTCGACAGCATATTAATAATGGAGATTTTCATTGTCCCAGACTTGTAAAAATAGCAATTATTGTAATTGAATAAAAGCGAAAAAATGTTCTTACCTAGGTTGGAATTTCAGTATTTCATGGTGGTGGTGGGGTCCTGTTTTTTTTTTTTTTTTTTTTTTTACAAGATTGGGAGCCCATCATGAGAGTAAAAAAAACAAAAAAAAAACTCCTCTATAAAAATGATCCATGTATATGTACTAGTATGGAAAAGAATGAAGATTTTCAATAATATGTTCATATTATTTACAGGGCTGGTACAAGTTACTGGTAACTTGGCCTGTCACCTGGGGTGCCATCAAGGCTGAGGGTGCCATGACATATGTTAGGGATCTTCCAAAACTAAAGCTTATAAAAACATACTTACAGTCATCCATGATCCAAGACAAATTAAATTCTTTGGCTATTTTGTCAATAGAAAATGATCTTGTAAAAAAGATTGATGTAGAAAGTGCCATTAAAAGATTTGCAGATCTATAGGTTAGAAAAAAATTGTTTTCTTTAACTTGTATTAAGTTGTATATTATAATAAACTTGTTATTCTACAGTTTCAGTTTTTCTCTTTGTGAAAATTAAAAAAAAATTAAACTTGTAAGGGCGCCAAAGTTCAGCTTGCCAGGGTGCCATCAACCCTAGTGCAGTCACTGATTATTTGGAATGCACCAGTCAGATATTTTGACATATGGTGAAAGGGTGCATCAGTCAAAAAAGAACCACTGATCTAGAATCATCTGAGTCTAATGGATCAAGGTCACTCACTTCTTGATTGGGTCAAGAACTTTTCAGCATATCTCTAGAATTCCTTAGGTGCCATGTGTGATGCATGAGTGGGTGATCAGGTTTTTTTTTTTGATTGATGTTTGACTTGGCAATTTATTGTGGGAACTCTTCTGCCATTACTTTCTGCAGTAGACTGGTTGGCAGCCAAGGTTATAGGATCCAACCTCTCCTGCTATTTAACCTGTAGCTGTGGGGAGAAGATTCATGCTTTTCCCAAGAATATTTGCACATGTAATGAACTTGACTCTCTGATCTCTCATTGCAAGCCATTATCCCCCCCCTACTCAGACACACACACACATTCACATATCCCAGCTTGCAGCACTTGGTATTCTCTAGAATAAGTTTAACTTAGAGGAAAAAAAATATGCTAAGTGTGGGGAGGAAAAAAGCTCTCTTGAAGAAAGGAAGCTGAGTGAATTCTTTACATTTACACTTATTGTGGGTCTACATCTTGGTAACTAAAAAAAAAAAAAAAAAAAAAATCTTTTATTTTTTTCCTTCATATTTAGAAACAATAATCATGAATAATGAATTTCTCACTTGGATTTCTAGTCAGATCAATAAATCAAACAATGGTTACAGACCCTGTCCATTTAATATTAAAGTATTATAGAATTAGGTTAGGTAAGGTACTGCTGATCAATGACATCTGGGTAAGATTAACCTACCAGATAAGATGTGGGAGATATTTTATGACTTGACTTTAGATAGGGGGTTATAGATGGGTGGTCTTAAAGGACATAAAATATGGCAATTACTGTGCAAAGTTTCACTCTTAATTAGAGTGAATAAATTATTTTAATTTTTGGAGAAGGGCAGAAAAGCAGCATTAAAATAGTCTGGATATGTCGGAACCAAACACATTTTTTAAATAAGAAAACCAGTTCTTTTATAAAACAAGAACAGTTAGGACATAATTTTTTTTTTTTTTTTAAATTAATTATTTAAGATGTTTATTTACAGTTGATAGTGAACATCAAAAGTAAAATAAAAAAAATAAAAACTTTTACTCACAGTTGACAAAAGATGATCCCAGGAGAATGCAATTTTATCTGAATCCTTACCCTAGAAAATAGAAATAAAATTAATTTAAGTAGAGGGTTACAGAAGATGCACAGTTTATGGGTATGTGTGGGGAAGATAACCTGTTCAACTCTAGGATTAAATGTTAATATTATCATGATTTTGTAGCATCCTCATGGGAGTCAGTTCCACAAAGCCAGAAAGAAAAATAAACAATTTATATTTTCCATCACATGATAAAATATTTGATGAGTCATTCTGGCAAGTATGAAGGTACCAGTCACCTCAACCCACAACCCTCATAAATGGTAATTTTTTTTTTTTTTTTTAGCTAAATTTTGAAGATGTTTAAATCATATGATGGTTATGACTATTTTTCATTTCATTCGTCTATTAGTTTTCAAGATGTTAACATCTTGAAAACAAATCAAACAATATCTGTGCAGAAAACATTTTGAAGTGATGGAAGGCTTTGCACATGAAGAAGAACTGGTTTACATCATTGGATGCATGCAGAACCACAGATATTATACCAGTTTTCCTTCTCACTTTCAGTAGGCTTACAATACATCTGGACACCAACCTAGGTATTTCTTTGTCCCTGTACATAATATAACATTATACAATAGTAGTAAGAAAATAACATTGTTATATAGAATATAACAATAAAAATATATATGACAACAATTGAAAGTTTCAAATTATTCCAGTTAAAAATAAAATAAAAAAGAAGATAATCTGTTGTAGCCAATTTTTATAAATGATATTGAAGCCATTTTCAAATGCTGTTATGAAATTCAGGCTTAATAGCAGTAGATTAGAAACAAAGCAGATTTCTTGTGACTGTAGATTTTCATGGACAGAAGCGACTTTTCAAGATCATTAATACTTAGAAACAACTGCGTAATTGCAGATAACTGATTTTGTTAATCTATGCCACTACATCAATTACATATTTTGCCATGGTTACTAATAAGATATTCTACAGTTCAAGCATTTTAGTTCTCCCAGTTATCTCTTTGGTCATTCTGGTCAATGCATTAACGACGGCACTTGTTTTCTTAAGCCAAATGAGAGGCAAAAATGAAAAAAAAAAAATCTAAATGTTAAAAAAGACATAGTAACAATGGAATATTAGAGCCCATTTAATATATTTTGAATAACATTTGTTATTTAAGTATATGCAAGGTTTCCAGCCTAATTAAATTTCCTTGATAATTGCCTTACTTCCTTGAAAAGTTCCATTAAAATTCCCTGATTTTGAGACATTGCATAACGCAGACAGTGGTAAACATATAGCACATGGGTGAATGGATAATGAAATACACTTATTGAAATTTTGTTAATCTTAGAAAACAAATAATAAATAACATTTGACATTTATTTTCAAGCAATTTTCAATCTGAAAAAGCATATAATAAACATGTTACATAATATATATTAAACTGCATTTGAATATTTACTGATTTAAAAAAAATTTTTTTTTTTAAAGAAAAATCAAATCGACTCCTTTTTTAATTCCCTGATATAAATACATTTAAAGAACTCTACATAGGATTTTAAAAAATCTTTTAATAAAGCTCTACAATTGAGAATAGCTTTGGTGTGTGTTCAGGCTTTACATATATAATAAACAAAGAAAATTTGCATTTATAAGTTATACAGGTACTTATAGTAAACTCTGATCCTAAGCAGATTTGCCAATTTGTAAATAATCAATTTTGATGGGTATTATGTATTTTGTCTTTGCCTCAACATGTAAAAATGGGCTCAACTAGATGATGTATGTATGTATGACATAGGTAGAGAGGTAATGTAGCTGTAGCAGTTATTGGAGACAGACAAGATTTAACATTGCAGAATTATTGTGGCCACTAAAGACAGGGACTATATATCAGAAGTAGCACTTCTCCACCCTTGTAGAAATGGATTCAGCAGAATGATGTATGACAAAATAGGAAATGAAGTAGTGTAGAAATGGCTGTCATGGGGAATGGACAAGATTTAACACTGTGGAATGACTGTTGCAACTAAAAATACAAGGGACTATCTCAGAAGTGGCAACTGCTTTAGATTTTTCAAAGGCAACAGTGTAAAGTATAGACCAGGGATATATGAATTCCAGACAAGTGCCATATTAGTATCAGTACCATTATTGATATCATGACATCAATTGCTGCTTCAGTGTTTTTCAAGTAGACAGCCTAGTCCATATGTGGTATAAACTGAATGAGGATATGGATCCAGTCAGTCAAGTGTTGTGAAAGCTGGCAGTGGTTTCTGTTGTGGCATGGAGTGTGTTCTGTTAAAGTTTTTAATCAGGAAATTAAAATCTATTTTGACAAATATGACATCCACAAATCATGTAACCCAATGAATGGTTTGTTCCGACAAAATAACAGAACCCCCCCTCTTTATATGCAGCTAAAATGGAACTGACTAACATTTAGGTACTGCATTAGTCTCTGTGCTCACTTGATTTAAATAACATTGAGCATGTATGTGACATGTTGAAGACAGCCATATCTAAAAACAAATACAACTCATGGACATCTCTGGAAAGTGCCTGGATAATTGATACACCAAAGCAACTCCAATTATAAGATCTACTAAAATCTGTTGGTGCTTACTCCGGTAACAAGAGAAACTACAGATTATTACGTGGCTATCTCTGATGTATTTTTTTATGGTGGAGATTTGATTTATTAAGTAAATTTCCTACTTAATAACCAAAGAAAATGTTTAGTCAATCTAATATTTACAATTTTTTCTGGTAAATTTCTCACTTGAAATTGCGAAGAAGTTTGCAACTTGATCTTAGAGCAGATAATGAAATTCAACTCAGAATATGTCTACCAAAATTGTGTTTAGTTTGTAGGATTCTTTGATATTTTTTGTGTAGAGGCTTATTTTTTCTTTTTTTTTTTAATGAATTCTCCTACTTGAAATTTTGCTAGTACAATTATATAAGATGTGCATTGTGATGTAATGGATATTGGCTTAGAATGAGAAATTGGAGAACTGAGTTTGAATTCGAGTTGGGTTCATTACATTCATGCATGTTCAAGTACCCTTGGGAAAGGGTATCAATCCATCACTTCTTCCCCTTTCTATGGGTTAAATAGCAGGACAGACTGGGTCCTATAGCCTTGGTTGGCAACCAGTCTACTGTAGAAAGAAATAACAACCTACTGAGGGAAAATCTTCTGCCTAGTTAGTCATGAATCATGAGACATGATCACCCAAGTGAACTGATTGATACAAGCTTAAAATAGTTTATATTTTTAGATATTTAATTTTTTTTGTGTGTGTGTGTTATATATGATTCATGCCAGGAAATACTAGAATTTTGGAATATCCGGAACCTTGATCTAAGTAGAATTGACTTGTGGTGGCCCAGTATGTACTTGGTTCATCCTAAGATACCAAAGTAAGTTTTATATAGTGTGTCAACTCAGGAAATCAAAAAACCTCAGAGACCCAAAAATTGACCTAGAAGGGAACTAAGTGCAGAATCAGGCTTTGAAGCATAACAGTAAGTGCATCAAAATGTAAACAAGGAAATGACCCCTGCTGAACTCAGGATAACAGGAAGTTATATAAGCATCTGACCTATAAGGAGAGTGTCCCTCATATCTGCACAAGAAGTATGACCTTTCAAAGAAGGACCCAAAATCACATACCCTCGATCCCACTGACACTAATTTGATGGGTTCTAAGAGTGAATAAACAAATATTTTACATATGGAAAATTTAGTTTCGTTTGTTTGATTAATGGCTTATCAACTTATGGGTCATTTAATGTCAAAATTTTCTTTTCTTGTGAGCTTTGGTAAGTCTTTTTATTCAAAATTGTATTGCAGTTCAATTTTTTTTTTCCCCCAATAATGTATTGATAATTTTTTACTATAAAAAATGTATTGCTAGTAATATTTTTTAATGTATTTTTATATTTTCATTTTTTTGAACCCAGTTTGGGGTTTACTATTTGCCCATAGCTGAAACAGATGCTACCATCCCAGGTAAAAGTGTACCTGAGAACAACAGCAATTAAGAGGTAGTTCCATGATCCTCAAAACCTCTCAATTAGAGACCTTGCTGCTGGATGTAGTTTATCATCATACCCAAGACAGTGGAAAATTTAGTCTTGTGTTCTTATAAGATGTTACTAATATAACATTTGAGTTTGAGAGATATTGCCATAATGTGTTTGCTAGAAAAACCCAAATATATAATTAGTGAATTAAAAATAAGAAATTGTTTGAAAGAGTGTAAAATATATTTGAATCCATAGACAAACAGAAATGTAGAACACAAAAAAAAACAAGTACATTATTTTTAAAAACAAGTTTTTTTACCAAGTCTTTTAATCATAAAGTCTCTTAGTTAATGTAGTCTTGTCCAAAAATATTTCTTCATTACAAATATTATTTAATGGTCAAGACTACATCAGCTGAAGTTGTAATAAAAAAAAAAAAAATTGATAAAAGAAAACTCACTAAAAATATCATTATGAAATGGGTTTTCATTATCTCTAAAACAACTTAAGTGAATTACAAACAATTATGATAAACAAATAATAAAACTTTATGATTGATGAAAGTAATTAGTTAATGTTAGTAATTTAATTAAAATTTACTATCTAAAGCACTCACATGCCAAATCTATTTTGCAAGTATTTACATGCTTTAAAATGTTATTTTTTGATTTAGGATTTATTAAGCTGACAATCTTCTATTCATTTAGTATTATTATCTGCTGCAGGAAATGTTGTAGGCTGAATATTCTGAACAAAACCTGACATCCCATAATGAAGTTCCTAAAAGTGGCCAACTGAAATTTTGATTTTTCTTTTTTTTCTTCTATTTTTTTAAAGAAATAAATTGAAATTTAATGCAATTATTAATGCTAGGTTAAAGATTCTGCAAGATGGGATGTTAGATGTTTCTATTTTAAAACCAAAAGTTTCTTCATCTTGGGGGGATCATCACCTGATGATTTTAGCTTTAAATCAGTTCCATTAAAAATATATAAATATGTAA